TACTAAACTATAAAATGAAATAAAGTTGACATATTTTAGCAGTAATCATCCTCAAATTATTAAACTTTCAATAAAATTATTACATAAAAAATAAATCTTATTCAACAATAATGATGGATAGATAATAAAATAATGGATACATATGTACATTGAATACATCTAGGTCGGTAAATGATAAACAAAAGTCATTTTTCTAGTAACAAACATATTTTTCCAAAATTATTTACATTCAAATTTAGTTTGAAAGTAATTCTGATTAAAAACAATTATTTCATATGAATGTTCTTAATTCTAGATTAAATATCCTAGACTAATATAAAAATATAGATATTCAATTACAGAAATTGAAACGTCTATACACAAAAGAATGTAGGAAACATTGCTTAGAAAAACTTGTTAAAATCTTATATCAATACAATCATATAATATGGTTTTTATAAAGAAATCACTTTACAAAGAAATTTAAAATTAACCATAAAAGAGAAGTCAAGCATATTAGGTTTTATTAATTTGGTGTTTTTTATAAATTTAAATATATCGAAATATTATTATATATACCAAAATATTTTGTTTTTCTCTTTCTGCCAGTTCTTTAGGACTTTCAATTATATTATACAGTCTAAATGTTTATATTCAAACTTCCAAAACGTAAGATGTGTTCAATTAATTTATGATTTTATATATATTTACATACATAAAATTTAATTTTAAAATTAATACCATTTCATAAATTTCTTAATGAATCTAAATATTTCTTCATACCATATATGTGAAGCAATTTATGTTATTAATATATTATTACAAATTAGTTTGTTGGTAACAAATATAGCTGAATTTTTTTTAAATACTTGATTATAATTATTATAATATTATTTTATTTCAAAATATATGGTACAAATAATTGAAATTCACTTTTTATTAAAAACAATAAATTTTGTTAATAAATTATTTCCAAATCATAATTACTATACTAATATTTATACAATATTTTATACTTTTTTTATTTCAAAATTTAAATTAATGAAAATACTAACCTCAATTCGATTTAAAAATTTAATACATTCTTTTTACAATTTAGATGACTCTTAATGAATTATAAAAATTATGAAATTTTGTTACTTACTTTTCTCTAATTTCATATCTTCCACATTAACAGTACAATAAAATTTACTGTTATTTATTCGGATATTTTGAACTACTTGCGAAATAACCTAAAAATAATCACATGATTTTAATTTTGCACATGAATTTAGAAATCTCTGTATCTTATATAGCGTATTTTTAACTTACTTTTCGAAACATTTTTATTAAATTATATAAAATGAATCAATGTAACGCATTAAAGAAAATACGAATATAATAAATCTAAGGTACCACGAAAAATTAAGATTTGTATTCTTAAGCATGCACATGAACGTACACAGCTGCGTATTTGGGAACACGTGGTGATAAAATCAGTGAACCATTTTCAAAATTGGTTTAACTATTTTTATTGCATATAATACAAATTTTTAAAGATAAGTAAAATTTAGGTTTAAACTGAAATTAAGTATTATATTTCACTCTATTTTTATAAGTTTTTAAAATAGCACGTAGTATAAATATAAATATATAAATATTTATGAAATATTATGTGGCGTATTTAGGATTACATTAGCTATTTGTTTATCAATTATTATACGCATACATTAATGGTTATTCTATATTTTATGACTTGGAAATTATGTTCACGAATTGCGTAGTAAAATACGGCAAATCATTATCTTTATATTTCTTTACAGAAAACAAATTTCTTGTTATTATTTTACATTTGATATTCTGTGAAGAGTGTTTTTTAAATTTACAAATGTAATAATACATAATATGCATCTGTGGCAGTATTAGTTACCAGCTATCATATCGCCGCAGCGATTGGACCAAATCTAGTTGCTAATGGCCCGTTCTCCAATTATGATACGGCATTCGATTTGTCTCATCAAATAGTTAATTTTATTTTTTGAATTGACCTTAACTTTAACTAGTGAAGGTAAGGTTAAGTATGTACATACATTTTAACATGCCTTTTAACTAAAAACAAGTGACAATCGTTATTTGTGAATACAGAGTATTTAATTTAGTTTAATTTAATTTATTGAAATACATAGGAAAATCTCTTTTAAAGAACGCAAAGAAAAAAGAAAGAAAAAGTATAGAAAGAGTAAGCGTCGGGTTGAAAAATTGATAGAATAACATTATATCTATAGATAGACCATAAGAAAAGTGAGATGGAGATAAAACAAGTATAGGTGAAATAAATAAATATAACAGCCACAGAAATAGGTGAAAATGATGGGAAAATTCCAGATAGAGCAAGAGATGGATTGGAAAAACAAACATTGCGCATAACTGTAGTTGTAAATAATAAAGATATCGGTTATATTTAGTTGTCACGGGGGTTGTCTTTTGTATGCTTCTTTTTTAAAGAGGCAATTTGAGATGGAAAAGAGTGCACTTTATTGCATAATCTATTACCCAGATTACATAAGTTCATAATGTTAATATAGTTGTAAATCTAAATGAATAAAACAAGATAGAAAAGGGAGAGATCTGGAGAAATAGGATGGGTTGTGAAAATTGATAAATCCTTTTCTATTGCCTGACCATAAGTGGATGGAAATTATATCTAGACATAGGGATATAATCGTGATTGTTAAAGTTAATAGGACATCTAGATTTATAAGCTAGGAACTTAAGAAATTAGTGTTAAATTCATCAATCCTATTGCACTTTAAGTAGCAATATGATGTTACCAGATGATGGATGCATATTCAAGCCCAAGGATAAAGCATAGCCTAATGAGGCTGTGAGGATTATTGAAAAGCTATGCTTGATGAATCGCAGCTTTCTAGAGGAAATGGCAATGACTCGTGTTATGTGTTCTGTGAAAATGAGAGTATTACTTACTAGTAACAGAGTAATAATTGCACTTAGGTTTCTTACACTATTGGGATAATGGGAAGGTTGAAATTTAAAAGTTTATACAGAGAAAACACAGGATTTTTTTTTAAACTATGAGATTTGCTCTAAATCAGAGTTTAAGTCTATTGATATTATCTTGAAGATAAAATAATTGTTTTAAAAATCTTTAGATCATCCGCGAAGAGTAGAAATTTACTGTTTTCAAGTGCTTGACAATAGTTTTTGCCTGTACCTTGACAATAAATAAAATTAAAAGAAAACAAGTGACTCCCAGTGACTTTAGACAGAAATCCTCAATATTTAACGCACTGAATATGACCAGATATGTAGCTATGCAGCCAGTTTAGCAGATTATGTGTGTGTTAATGATGGAAGATTCTAGTCAAGAATAATGAGAAAATCATTGTTGGGGTGAGATTGAAAATTGTTGCTAATATAGTTAGAATGTTTGGTGTATAGAAAAGGGGGAAAGAAAGACAGTTCAAAAGGTTTAAGAGCAGGTTGACTTTGACAAAAATTTGCTCGATGTGAGCAGAAAGTGACTAGAACAGTTGATTGGGGAAAGAGTTATAACAATACCTGTAGCTCTTAAATTCACCAAAAAGCACATTCAAAGTAATAAAGAAAACCAGAAAACATAGTTTTCCAATGAGAATATGTCTGTTAAGCCAAATTTTGATGAAGAGGGTGATGTGATGTTCCATTGCAATTGAGATAAAATTGAAAAAAGATGTTGCCTTTATACGGGGATCTCGAACGTTCCAGTAATAGATGAAAAGCATCATGTAGCAAAAGTTTTTTTGCTACACGACACATTATTTATGTATCTGATTTTCTATCTGTGAGCTCTTTGGTGTATAGGTCGGCTAGTTGTTTTCTGAGTTATGCAGGTGTATTTTTTCAAGAATAGTTTTGTCATCAGTAATGTTGACAATGCAAGAGATTCTTTGTTGACTAATATAGCATGTACATTGTCATTTAGAAATTATAGGACAATATTTGTATAATAAAAATAGTACAATACAGAAGTATAAATTATATACACAATGTGTTGTTTTTATAATAAATATAATACATACAATAAATACAAAATATATTTTATACAATAAAAAATTCTTATATGTAATAAAATATNTACTAAACTATAAAATGAAATAAAGTTGACATATTTTAGCAGTAATCATCCTCAAATTATTAAACTTTCAATAAAATTATTACATAAAAAATTAATATATAAAAAAGTTAAAATTGTAGATATATATCAATAGACTTCATATCAATCTAAATAATAGTTTTAAATCTTATTCAACAATAACTAATGATGGATAGATAATAAAATAATGGATACATATGTACATTGAATAGATCTAGGCCAGTAAATGATAAACAGAAGTCATTTTTCTAGTAACAAACATATTTTTCCAAATTTATTTACTTTCAAATTTAGTTTGAAAGTAATTCTGATTAGAAACAATTATTTCATATGAAATGTTCTTAATTCTAGATTAAATATCCTAGACTAATATAAAAATATAGATATTCAATTACAGAAGTTGAAATGTCTATATACAAAAAAATGTAGGAAACATTGCTTAGAAAAACTTGTCAAAATCTTATATCAATACAATCATATAATATGGTTTTTATAAAAAAATCACTTTATAAAGAAATTTAAAATTAACCAAAAAAGAAAAGGCAAGCATATTAGGTTTTATTAATTTGGTGTTTTTTATAAACTTAAATATATCGAAATATTATTATATATATCAAAATATTTTGTTTTTCTCTTTCTGCCAGTTCTTTAGGACTTTCAATTAAATTATACAGTCTAAATGTTTATATTCAAACTTCCAAAACGTAAGATGTGTTCAATTAATTTATGATTCTATATATATTTACATACATAAAATTTAATTTTAAAATTAATTCCTTTTCATAAATTTCTTAATGAATCTAAATATTTCTTTGTACCTTATATGTGTAGCAATTTATGTTATCAATATATTATTACAAATTAGTTTGTTGGTAACAAATATAGCTGAATTTTTTTTAAATACTTAATTGTAATTATTATAATATTATTTTATTTCAAAATATATGGTACAAATAATTGAAATTCACTTTTTATTAACAATAAATTATTTCCAATTCACAACTAGTATACTAATATTTATACAACATTTTATAATTTTTTTATTTGAAAATTTAAAAAAATTAATGAAACTACTAACCTCAATTCGATTTAAAAATTTAATACATTCTCTTTACAATTTAGATCACTCTTAATGTATTATAAATATTATGAAATTTTGTAACTCTCTTCTCTCTAATTTCATATCTTCCACATTAGTACAATACAATTGTTTACTCTTAGTTATTCGGACATTTCGAACTTGCGAAATAACCTAAAAACAACTTCATATTATTAATTTTGCACCTTAATTTAGAAAGCTCTGTATCTTATATAGCGTATTTTTAACTTACTTTTCGAAACATTTTTATTAAATTAGATAAAATGAATCAATGTAACGTACTAAAGAAAATACGAATATAACAAATCTAAGGTTCCTCGAAAAATCACGGTTCGTATTCATAAGCATGTACGTGCACAGGTATGTATTAAAATCAGTGAATCATTTTCAAAATTCGTTTATACTATTTTTATTACATATAATAAAAATTTTTAAAGATAAGTAAAATTTAGGTTTAAACTGGAATTAAGTATTATAATTCACTCTATTTTTATCACTTTTTAAAATAGCATGTAATATAAATATAAATATATAAATGTTTATAAAATATTATGTGACGTATTTAATATTATGACGGATTACATTAGCTATTTGTTTATCAATTATTATACGCATACATTAATGGTTATTCTATATTTTATGACTTGAAAATTATATTCACGAATTGCGTAGTAAAGTACGGCAAATCATTATCTTTATATTTGTTTACAGATAACAAATTTCTTGTTATTATTTTACATTTGATATTCTGCGAAGAATGTTTTTTAAATTTACAAATGTAATAATACATTATATGCATCTGTGGCAGTATTGGTTACCAATTATCATATCGCCGCAGCGATTGGACCAAATCTAGTTGCTAATGGCCCGTTCTCCAATTATAATACGGCATTCGATTTGTTTCATCAAATAGTTAATTTTATTTTTTGAATTGAACTTCACTTTAACTAGTGAAGATAAGGTTAAGTATGTACATACATTTTAACATGCCTTTTAACTAAAAACAAGTGACAATCGTTATTTGTGAATACAGAGTATTTAATTTAGTTTAATTTAATTTATTGAAATACATGGGAAAATCTCTTTTAAAGAACGAAAAAAAAAGGAAAGAAAAAGTATAGAAAGAGTAAACGTCGGGTTGAAAAATTGATAGAATAACATTATATCTATAGATAGACCGTAAGAAAAGTGAGATGGAGATAAAACAAGTATAGGTGAAATAAATAAATATAACAGCCACGGAAATAGGTGAAAATGATGGAAAAATTCGAGATAGAGCAAGAGATGGATTGAAAAAACAAACATTGTGCATAACTGTAGTTGTAAATAATAAAGATATCAGTTATATTTAGGTGTCACGGGGGTTGTCTTTTGTATGCTTCTTTTTTAAAGAGGCAATTTGAGATGGAAAAAAGTTGACTTTATTGCATAATCTATTACCCAGATTACATAAGTTCATAATGTTAATATAGTTAAATCTAAATGAATAAAACAAGATAGAAAAGGGAGAGATCTGGAGAAATAGGATGGGTTGTAAAAATTGATAAATCCTTTTATGATTTTAATTAAAAAAGTAATTTCAGTGATATATTGCCTGACCATAAGTGGATGGAAATTATATCTAGACATAGGGATATAATCGTGATTGTGAAAGTTAATAGGACATCTAGCTTTATAAGCTAGGAACTTAAGAAATTAGTGTTAAATTCATCAATCCTATTGCACTTTAAGTAGCAATATGATGTTACCAGATGATGGAAGCATATTCAAGATAGAGAAGCCCAAGGATAAAGCATAGCCTAATGAGACTGTGAGGATTATTAAAAAGCTATGCTTGATGAATCCTAGCTTTCTAGAGGAAATGGCAATGACTCGTGTTATATGTTCTGTGAAAATGAGAGTATTACTTACTAGTAACAGAGTAATAATTGCACTTAGGTTTCTTACATTATTGAGACAATGGAAAGGTTGAAATTTAAAAGTTTATACAGAGAAAACACAAGATTTTTTTTAAAACTATGAGATTTGCTCTAAATCAGAGTTTAAGTCTATTGATATTATCTTGAGGATAAATTAATTATTTTAAAAATCTTTAGATCACCCACGAAGAGTAGAAATTTAATGTTTTCAAGTGCTTGACAATAGTTTTTGCCTGTACCTTGACAATAAATAAAATTAAAAGAAAACAAGTGACTCCCAGTGACTTTAGACAGAAATCCTCAATATTTAACGCACTGAATATGACCAGATATGTAGCTATGCAGCCAGTTTAGCAGATTATGTGTGTGTTAATGATGGAAGATTCTAGTCAAGAATAATGAGAAAATCATTGTTGGGGTGAGATTGAAAATTGTTGCTAATATAGTTAGAATGTTTGGTGTATAGAAAAGGGGAAAAGAAAGACAGTTCAAAACTTTGACAAAAATTTGCTCGATGTGAGCAGAAGGTGACTAGAATAGTTGATTGGGGAAAGAGTTATAACAATACCTGTAGCTCTTAAATTTACCAAAAAGCACATTCAAAGTAATAAAGAAAATCAGAAAACTTAGTTTTCCAATGAGAATATGTCTGTTAAGCCAGATTTTGATGAAGAGGGTGATGTGGTGTTCCATTGCAGTTGAGATAAAATTGGAAAAAGATGTTTGCCTTTATACGTGGATCTCGAACGTTCCAGTAACAGATGAAAAGCATTATGTAGCAAAAGTTCTTTTGCTACACGACACGTTATTTATGTATCAGATTTTCTATCTTTCTTTTCTGTAAGCTCTTTGGTGTATAGGTCGGCTAGTTCTTTTCTGAGTTATGCAGGTGTATTTTCTCAAGAAGAGTTTTGTCATCAGTAATGTCGACAATGCAAGAGATTCTTTGTTGACTAATATAGCAGGTACATTCTCATTTAGAAATTATAGGGCAATATTTGTATAATAAAAATAGTACAATATAGAAGTATAAATTATATACACAATGTGTGGTTTTTATAATAAATATAATACATACAATAAATACAAAATATATTTTATACAATAAAAAATTCTTATATGTAATAAAATATATTGTATATATTATGTTACGATACATACGCACAATAAAATTAAATTAAATATAAAATATATTTATTTACATTTAATTTTGAATTAAAATTAAATACAATTCATACAATGTAATTAAATAGAATAAATATACTTCATATAATCAAGACTCTGTTAATATATTAATTATTTTTTAGATAATATAATATATTAATATATTAATTACATAATATAATATATTAATAAATTAATTACATAATATAATATATTAATATATTAATTACATAATATAATGTATATTATATTATATTATGTTATATTATAAAATATGTATATAACGTACATAAGTATAGACATGATAATTCATGACAAATACTGAATATTAAAAATAAAAGTATCTAAGCCTTTTGAAGGGGAATGTAATGCCGGAGAGAAGCGAGTGCAAGGAAAGTACTCTCTTTGCTTGTCTATAATCTAATCTTTCCAATAACTCACGTATAGTATTAAAAGTTTAGTTAATTAGTGGAATGTTATGGTCAAGGTACGGTCAATTTAAAAGAGAACTAGGAGTTTCCGCGATAGATGACAAGAGAAAATGTAATGTGTTCGACGAGACGAATCAAACGATGTATAATTTGACGAATGATGCATATTCTATACTTACACGTCTTATAAGATATCGATAACCAATGACATTATGCTCCACTTATGTTAACTTAACTGACTTTTCTCAGATTGTGAGATGAAAGTGAATTTACACGGAGACTGTGCCAATGTGTCTCATCATACCTATATGTAATTAATACATACACCACGAAGTATACTATCGAGACCTACATATAGTTAAGAAATGACAAAAGACACTCCACGATTCTCACATAGATTAATCTAATTTATATATCGATTGGTAAAGGCTAATGAATATTGATATATCAATAATATCTTGAGCCTCAAATTTTTATATTTCTCGTATTATTATAATTCATTATTGGAAATTGTTTATTGAACTGTGTACGTTATTTTTATATAGTAAACCACTTATANATCAACATTATTTGGTTTAGCGTAGTTTCGTCTTTCTGTTGGCCGCTATCTACCAGCAGCAGAACACGAATTCTTGTTTACGCAGTCTTGCGGATTATTAGCGTTATTAACGCCTGCATGCTGTTCCTGGCTTTGCTATATTCGGTTTATGTGCATTCAGACGATATAATTATTGTTTTTGAATCTGTCTGTCTGGGTCTGGGTGTGAGTCAACTTATGATTCAGACTATTATATGCTCGGTCAATTACAAGTCTCTGCAAGTAAGTTCCTATTCACTTTTATAATTTCTCTCGATTTGGTGGTTTCATCAATTATTCTTGTATTGTTCAGATTGTACGTAAAACCAGCTTTGAGAAAAGTGAACTTAATACTGTGAAAATCGAAGATTTACGATTGAAAATTTAGATAGTATTTTTGTATTCAATGTGTATTACTAGTTCATAAATTCCCTCAAATTAAAATTTTACAAGAAATTTAAAAAAAGTACACTACTTTATCAAGGATTTCATAAAATATATTATATTATCAATTTCTCTACTTCCTTTTTATGCAATTTGATGAACGAAAATTCTGAATATCGAAATCAAAGTGTCTCAAGACTTTTGAACGGCATATTTTAATATCTAATTTTGTGAAAAATATGTATTTATTTTAATTATGGATTACAGCGTGTGATCGAACAAATGATAGACCATATTAAAGAGGCGCAGCAATACGAACGGGAGGTTTTCTGCAAGTATATCGCGAGATGCAGCGTGTTTTATGGGAGTTCGATGGCGTGTATGTACTTGACCGCGACTGCTTTTTCGTTTGGACCTGCAATTTTGCCCGGTTCCTTCCCGTGTGAGGCGGAATATCCGTTTCGCGTTAATTATACGCCGGTGAATGTTATAATATACATGCACCAGTCCATCCTCAGTTTTCAATGTGCCGCACATGTGTGCATAAGTATATTTGGAGCGTCTTTACTTTGGTATACCGCCGCAAGATTCGAATGCTTAGCCATAGAATTGAAAAAATCTACGAACATTCCTATGCTGATTGTTTGCATTGAAAAGCAATTGCATTTAAGGAGGTAAAGACACTTTACTTTATGACGTGTAAGTGAAACGATACGTTTATC